TTAATGGGTGATTGACTCACAATTTATGTTGGTTGACCAAGTATGTAATCAGGTTGAACATGACCTAAAGAGAATTGGCTAGGTTGGACTTAGATTGAGCTTGGGTTAGGTAAACTTAGCCTAAGTTAAACCTGAACCCTAATTAATGTGTTTTAATTATAAAAAATATTTTAAACATGATTTTAAAATTGTAAAACCTCTGTTAATGGTCAAACGTTCAATCAGAGAGAGTTTTACAATTTTTATAATTTTTATAATTTTTAATTTACATAAATATGGTGTTTCATTCAAAAATCAAAATACAAATATAGAGAAACTAAAATGTTTTGGAAAAACCAGAAAACCTTTTCCCAATGCCATTTAATATCTCTGCCAAATTTCATATTTTTCCCACTTATATTTTAATTGTTATGATTTAAATACTCCAGAACTTCAAAAATTAATTTAAAAATATTTACTTGATGAAAAATTATGATTTGGTTTTGAAAAATCCTCTTCCTTTTTTTGAGTTTATAGCATCTTTCGATTAATTTTTTTGAGTTTTTTATAAAAAATTACGTAATTTTGAAGTTTAATTATAATTTTTGAAATAAAATAATAAAATAAAAAAAAATCTCAGCATCTCCTCCCTCGCTCGCTCGACGCCCACGAAACAGGTCCCGACGCATGCATGGAGAAAACCGACGGCCGAAACTTTCCGGAGTCCGTCCTCCGCTGATTCTCAACTAAATTTAAATTTTGCGTTCGGGCTCGTTTTGTTCAGCTCAAAGAGTATATCACATCCATACGGATACTTGAGTATTTTGTGATCTACTTTTCGATCTGAAAGGGAGTGAAATTTGAGATTATTATTTCAACTTAAGAGATATACCTGAGCCTAAGAGGTTTGTAATTAGGTTTGAATAAATTGGTCTTCCTGAGCTTATCCAACTCCTCGTGGCGTCGTTTTGACGTAATTTTCGCGGCGGGTCGGAGGTTCTAGAGGTTTACCGGAATTTAGCTCGATTTCGGCTTTTACGGCGACGTCGGCGTTTTCTGACGAGGGAGGAGAAATGAGAGCTGCTCTTGTGTGTGTGGAGAAGAAAATGAAGAGTTGGGGGCTGTTGCTGTTTTAGGAGAGAAAAGGGTTTTTTTTTTTTTTTTTTTTTAGAGGTGTGTGAGGTGTTTATGTAGGAAGAGAAGGGGAGAAAGAGAAATATTTTTTTTTATTATTATTTTTAATCCCACGCCTGTGAGATACGGAAGAGAGGGAGAAGGAGAGGCGTGCATGAGCAATGGGTGTTATTTATATATATATATATATATATAAAGGGGGGAGAGAGAGAGAGATATGATTTTTTTTCTTATATGGTGGCTGTAGGCGTGTGAGAGAGCGAGAGAGAGAGAGAGAGAGAGAGAGAGAGAGGGAGTTTTGAAGCATATGTGAATTTTTTATTATATATATATATTCATATATTAAGGGAGAGAGAGAGAGAGGGGTGGGGATGAATGACCATGACTTAAAATCGGATAGGATAATAGAATTTATTTTTTTTTTATTTTTGTGTTTTTTTAATATAATAATAATATTATTATTATTTTTATTATTATCTAAATCTCCTCGTGCATTTTTTGTCGAACGCATCATCGTGGTGAAATGAACGATCTCCTTAAGCGAAATCAACGTTCCGGACACACTCGCGCAGTCTATTTCGTCATTCGGGGTCGTTCAGACTACTTTTTCTGCAATCGGGTCAAAAAAAATGTGTCAAATTTAATTTTCGTCAAAATTTTTATTCGTGATCGACCGTTTTGAAATTGATCACGGGCCAATTAAATTGATTTGGATTGGATCTTGACATGTTGAATTTGAAATTAAGCTATTTGATTAGTCATGATGCTCAGTTTGACAATTTTTGCCAAAGCCAGTGAATTTGATCAAATTGGATCCAATGGATGGTCAAGAATTGGTTTTAAGGGTATTTGAAATAATTCTTGAGGATTTGAGAATTTTCGGTCCACGAGTGACATTTTGATAATTTTGGCCGCATTTGGTCAAAGTGGTCAAAATGTTGATTAAAGGCTCGAGGCAGTTCATGATGAAATTTGGAGTCAAATGACAATGTTCAGGGTCATTTTCGATCAATGTGAAATGTTTTATGATCCTCGAAGTATTTTTAAGTATTCGTTATTTTGATGTCGAAGTGGAAAAAAGTTATCCGGAAGTATGACAATATACAGTTAAAATTCTCAGGAAGACATAAAGAATGATTTGGTGTGATTTTTAGGATTTATTGGTGACTCTAGGAGATTTTGGAAAATTTGATTTGATATTTTGGAAAATTTGATATTTTGGGGGTATAGGGGCATTTTGGTAATTTTTGGGAAAATTGGGTATTTTTGCAATTTTTGGGTAGGTCTAAATGATAAAATAAAATGGTTTGAAGTCAGTTGTGTGATTCAATTGCAATTTTGGGAAATTTTGAAGAATTAGAACATTCAAGTGGGCATTTTAGGAGAAACTGGGTTCAAATAATTTTGGTTAGCCTCATTGGTGTAATCTGCAACCCAGTGATATGAAAATACAATGTTTATGATGATCATGGGAATTATGAATGATGATGCAATGTATTGAAGTCAAAAAGTGTGTAGAACAGTGCAAGTTTTTTCTATAGTCCAAAGGTCCTATAGGAATTCTCATCAGGGTTCCCTTATGTAATATCGATCTTTATATTAAAAACTAGTGATTACATATAGAACCAACATAGAGAACACAAATTTGGTTGCAATGTCTACGGAGAAGTTGGGTACCATTTCTAAGATACTAAGATAGTCTTCAGGAAAATCCTAAGGCTAGATCCTAGTTACTAAAGGAAAGACCCAAAACCCTCACCCAAAAGTGAGGTCAACAATGCACCACAACAATGTGTCGCGTCGTCGCGATGTCTAACCTCAACACGTTGCCACAACGCACCATCGCGACGCTCCGCTGAGGTACCTCGCCGCGATGCATCCCCCCAACACATCGTCACAATGCATCACGTCACCACGATGCCTCGCAACGAACCTCATTTGTCACGCTCCGCCACAATGCGTTGCGTAGCTGCGACGACACACCGCGATGCTCCGCCCTCACACGTTTCTACGACCGCGTCGCCGCGACGCATCGTCCCAACGCGTCGCCACCCCACAACACGTAGCCGCGACACACAACCGCAATGCATCATCTCATCGCGACACACAGCCGAAAATTTTCCAACACCCATCACTCTCGAGCCTTTGTTTTTTTTTTATGTCATGACTTTTTGGCCGTCAATCTTGAGCGTTTTTTTTTTAATATAAATGCTATCCTCTAGCTCCTTCACGGACAAAACAAACATAATTAAGTATTTCTCTCCTTAATATAAAATTTACTTATTTTCTCAAATTTTAATATATATTTTTTTCAAAATCAGTTCGACTGAAATATATTAATTTCAATGATTTCAAAGTCTCGAAAGCAAATGTCATAATTTTATTTATAATTGAAATATATCAGTTCCACTGAAAAATCACATCACACCACATAACTTTTTTAATCATTTTTAAATAAATGATTAAATATTTAAATTGTTAGGAAACATTATATCCCACTTACATAAATATTTTTGTCATTATTAAATTAATAATTAACACTTTTAAATTGTTGTGAATGTTGGGTAATGTAGAGGTTTGGTCCACCGTAATTTAATTAGTATTCTAATTAAAAATCTCGCATACCGCTCATCTACCACATCCTACATACCGCTCACCTACCTCCCACATATCGCTTTCATGGTATCTATAAATAGTCCCTTTTGACTTAAAATGAGAAGTTAAGACAGGCAGGGACAAGCAAAACAAGAATAATCACAGTCCTCTGAGAGAGTAAAAGAGGAAAAGAGAGAGAGAGAGGAAATGAGAGAAGAAAATAGACATTTTTTTGTAAACATCGAGGTCTTCGACAGTGTAATTCATTGAAGAAATATAATCCTCTGTAGCTTCGTGGATATAGGTAAATTTGCCGAACCACGTAAATCTAAGTATCGCTTTGGTGTTTTTTCTACGTGTAATTTTTCTCATTCCATTTTTCGCTTTATTGTCGTCATTTTTCACAACAATAAAAAGAAATATTACTATTTATAAAGATCATAACAAGATTCTCATAAAAAAAATAATTAATTGGTTGAGCCGGCAAGTTTTGAAAAAAAAAATATTATGTAGGACTAAAAATAACATTGTTGTGCATAATAATAATAATAATAATAATAATAATAATAATAATAATAATAATAATAATAATAATAATAATAATAATAATAATAATAATAATAATAATAATAATAATAATAATGTAATAATAATAATAATAATAATAATAATAATAATAATAATAATATATTGTATTATTACATATGGAGTCAGAATACATCCCTATTTTGTATATAAATTTTTTTTATTATTTTAAATTTTTTTAAATCTACAAAATAATTAGAAAATTTTATGGCCGTGTGATACCATGTTTTGTGTGATTTTTATGTCATGTTCTATGAAACATATTAAAAATAATATTATAATTTTTTATAATATTTTGTGAATTTTTCCGTCGTTTTCTTATACTAAAATTAAAATTATAAATAATTTTTAAATCCAAAAGAAAATTGTCAATTCATTTATTTATAAGTGTTGGCTATTTTACCTTCTCTTGAACTTCTTCTATTGAATGTGCATTAAAAAAACATGAAATCTTTACCTCAACATAACATTTGATCAAAATGTTATGTTGACCAGTTCAACTCTTCTAGTGGACGTTTTCTATGGCCAAATTTGCTGGAAAATTTTCTAACCATTTTATGCGGGAATATAAATGTATTTTTTTCGTGCAATATGTTAAAAATAATATTTTTGTGTGCAAGAAAATTCATGATGGTAAAATAATAATTTAATGTCTTAATTGCACGAAAATATAACACACTTAATTCTTTTTATAATTATATGCACTTAGGTTAACTCTTTAATTGAATTAAATAATATAAAATGATAATGTTGATAATCACAAACATACAATTGTCATACAGCTTTAATAGTCGTAATTGAACTATAATAAATATAGTTCTTTGTGATAATTGCAATAGTGGGTTGCTACAAAGACATCATTTTGTCATAAAGATTATAGTCGTTGGTTGTAATAATGTCAGCTGGCCACGGGGGCCATAGTTAGAAATTATAATGGTAGTTGAGCACATAAATCATTGTTGGTAGCTACAGCTGAATCCATTTGCCTTCCATCTCACCTCAAAAGCAGCAACTACAGCACTAACTCTAATCCCGCACGCCGTTCTCTCCCAAACCTCCTCCCACACTTCACCGCTCTCAACTACTTCCGGCGCTTCCAGCGGCTGCTTCACGAAATCTCCGGAGGGTTACTTAAACTGCGATGGCGTCCGCGTGCAGGACATAATGGAGGCGGTCGAGCGTCGCCCCTTCTATCTCTACAGCAAAGATCAGATCACTCGGAACTTCGAAGCGTATCGAGAGGCTCTTGAAGGCTTGGGATCGATCATTGGGTATGCCGTCAAGGCGAACAATAATCTCAAGGTTCTTGAGCACCTACGGGAGCTGGGTTGTGGAGCGGTGCTTGTCAGTGCGAACGAGCTCCGACTCGCACTTCGTGCTGGCTTTGATCCTACCAGGTTAATAGTTTTGATTTTTTTTAACGAAGTTTTTCAATGTTTCTCAGACTTTGGATTGGTTGCTTGCATGGAACTCCCTTTAAGTTATACGATTTGAAGAAAGGAGAGTAATTTATTTCATTTCAAAGCAAGGATAGCCAAACCTGGCCTCATTTTAGGTTTTCTGAAGATTTAGACAGCACTACTAATATCCTTTTTGATTGGAAGTAGGATTCAGTAAACCAGAATTATTAAATTTTATACAATCAGGATTTAAGAGGATTTGGTGCAGTAAATTATATGGTCGAACTTTTTGGTTGTCCAATCCGGCCAAATCCTTGGGTTTTGGATGATTGCAAGTTATATGGATTTATAGAGATTTAGTCGATGATGCTGAAATGATTCACTTGTCTTACCAATATATGATAATCCATTGTTTGAGCTAAGATTTATCAAATCCTGCTAAATTTAGGATTTAGTTTGAACTTAAGATGTGTTTTAGATAATTATCTACAAGACCAAACTACAATGTGTTTTAGATAATTATCTCAGATAATAATAGCTCATGGATGAGAATCTTATTGATATATTAATGATTCATTTGCTTTCTCGGTATTTGAAGGTCAGATGTGTATTTAATGGAAATGGGAAGCTGGTGGAGGATCTTGTTTTGGCTGCTAAAGAAGGGGTGTTTGTGAATATTGATAGCGAGTTTGATCTGGAAAATATTGTTATTGCGGCGAGAATAACGGGAAAGACGGTTCGAGTTTTACTTAGGATAAATCCAGATGTAGACCCCCAGGTAATATGCTTTATATGGCTGACAAATTGACAAAATCTCTCTGAAATTGAATTTTTATTTTTTCATCTTGTCGGCATATTCAAATTCCTAAAAATATTACAATTGTAGGTACTTAAAGTCAACAAAATATGCATTTTGTTCTTGTTTGTTAAACAAACTCTTTGTACAATATTCACATGGTCATTTTCATATTCATTATCCATTTTTCTTTGCTAGTTATTATTATTTTTTTAATGCATTATCATCTTGATGGAAGCGAGGCACTTTATCAATTATATTTGGTTATGCCAATCAGTTGCTCAAAACTTCAAAAACATGCATCTTTGAATGCATGCAGTAGTTTTCATTACAAATCCTCCCGTTCTTTCCCTTGTTTGTTTGAATATAGTTGTTAATTAATATTACTAAATTGTTAAGATAAATCACAAAAGTTGAACTTAGGAAGGGTTCTTCAGCTCCTTAACTTTTTAACTACCCTAATTAATTATCTCTTAAATGGTTAACAAGCAAACGAAAGTGTGCCTACGGAGGCTATCATATCATCCAATAACCAATGAATGCCCTTTTCCCATTGATTTATATTTTTACTGATTTTGACCTTATCGATGATGAGATTGAATTGTTGTTTGACTTCTTTTCAAACTTATGGTTCTTTAGAAAAGTTTCATTACTTGTTGCTAGTTGTCTAACTGTGTGTTATTTTTATTTGGATCAATTCTGTACATTCAATTTTCTAAACTAGATGTATAAATGTCATTTGATTTTTAAACAGCAGTTTAATTGGAGAATCGTATAAATTAAGCCACCTTTTGTGCTAAACTGTTGGAGTATGCTGGCAATGTTATAAATATGTTTTTGAATGACTTCTACGTTTTCTTTTGGATGCTAATCATTTACTGTTTGGTTAATTATCTTACATGTCATTTCTTCATGTGCGATAATGAGACCTTGTCTTTTTGTTTGTATGATTTAATACTTTTTTGTGGTCAAACTTGATTTCCTATACTCCTTTTCTTTTCATTAGGTGCATCCATATGTAGCGACAGGCAACAAGAATTCAAAGTTTGGTATTAGAAATGAGAGGCTGCAATGGTTCCTAGATTCCGCATTTCGAATATGTACTGATTTTGGTAGTTTAAGGAAAACCCCGGAGGCATATACTGTCGAATAGCCAGATGGTTCGCCGGAGTTGTGGATGGAAGGCTCGTCAATATTATGCCCGCAGTCATGAGGAGGAGGAGGAAGACGTTGGAGGAGGAGGCCATGTTAGCTGGGCTTGCAGAACTGCTACTACTTTCGTGTGGGGTTTATTTATACTAAAAATTTTCCGAATGAGGCCAAAAAAGAAACAATTAAAGACAGTTGTATATATGTTTGTTAAATAATTTGACTGAGAATATTTTTTAACTTATATGATTCCACTTGGGATAAATAGGTTCCATTTGGCGAAATAATAGTTTATTTAGTTAAATTAATATGGATCAGTTTTTAAGCTTTTTATAATTAATATTATCTTCAGAAAAAGATTAGCGTGCATGGAAATTAATTATTTTAAGAAAATAAGTGATTTAGTTTTAGAAGGGTAGAATACAAATTTTATAGAACTAAATTCTGAGTTCCCAATCAACCGCAGTTGAATTTGAACCATTTAATATGAAGATACCTGTTGGCCATGCCATCTTAACTTACTTTATTGAATGGTTTCTTCGAAATGATTTGATTGACAGCTAATATGTTCAAAGAAAAATAAAGTAATTATCCAATTTTAGTCGTCATTTCACAAAAAAAAAAAAAAGAAAAAAAAGAAAAAATGATTCTGATATTGACAACAAAGATTGGACATATATGAGTGGTTAATTTATAAATTTTTATTTTAGAAATAAAGCTGAATTATTGATTATTGTATAAAAGAAAATTGTCCGCAAGTAGATCAAATGGTCTAGATTACAAAGCAAAAATGAATATAAAGAATATGACGAAAAGCTACAAGAACTCATCAAGCATCGGAGAATGACCAGTCGACTGAAAGTATATGCTATCGCCGAAGGGTCGCTCAGGCCAGCAAGGGACAAACACCTACACAGATCACCTCAAGGCTGATCGACCAGCTGCCACTTTTAAATGTGCAACCCAGCTTCCCAGAAAGAAGGTCAATCGTCTCTCAGGCAAAATAGCAGCCCCGAACAAGCTAAGTCGCCTGACCCAATGTAAAGATGTCAAACACAAAAAACATTTCAAAGACCTATCGATTGGAAGGCTTAGACAAACGTAAAGATGTCAATGTAAGTTATTGATGTGAAAGCATTTCAATATCAATTACAGACACAAAAAGACGTCGGTTTCAATTAGAATTATGAAAAAGTACCAAAGAGGGTGATGTTAATGTGTAATGTCCCTAATAAAGAAAGGATAAATTTATGAGAATACTAATGACATGTAATGCCCTCATTGAGATAGGAGTAAGTGTGTAATTTTATTAAATGTCTTCTGTGATTATAAAGAGGGATCATTTAATAAATAAAAATACAGACCATTCTCTCTAAACTGTTCACCCCGTACTCTGCACTTTAGTCTCTCTTTTTGTTGCCCCAACACCTCCCATGTTGTGTCTAGAGAGTCGTAAAGGTTGGTTTCGCCCGTGATTACTTGAGCTTCTTTATTAAAAAATCAATTCAAGCTCGATTGATACTAGGACCAGTGAGCCCATTAATAAATATTTGATTTAATAAAATAAATAAGCCTTATTTAAGCATGTTCACGAGCTCTTGAGGTAAACAATAAAGAAGTTGTATGAAATACAAATTTTTTTAGGACTAAAAATAAAACTTCAAATGATATTGTCTTTGAATGATCCCTAATAGCATACTATATAAGTTCAGTTACAAAGTCATACCGCTCTCTCTAAGAGGAGAAAGTTAGATTATAGAGTAAAAATCTAATAACAAATGCCTAAGACTAATAATCGGGTCACAAAAGTTGTTAGTGGTAGTTGATAATGATCCTGGCTAATCAGTGAAAATCACTAGAGGGTAGCATTGATTTCTTGTTGTCGATGACAACTCCTATGGTTGGCAGTGATTTTTGGTGGTCGATGACGACCTCGAAAGGTCGGCCATCAACCCTAATGGTCGGCGATGATCTCGGGTGACCAATGACAACAACCAGGACTTCAAGCTTTAATAATCAACTCACTCACTTATTCCCCCTCCCCCTAAATGAATATGAAGGTTCATTTATAATGTTTTAAGAGGGATATTTTGGTCTTTGTTGCCTAAATTTTAAAATCATTCTATCATATGGTTCATGTTTATTTATTTGATTATATATCATTTCTTTAGCATTTAAGTGTTTTAATGATCTCATAATTGAATAATCTCGAGCTTGTCAAATTTCTTTCTCGTCGAAAATAGTCGAATTGGCTATATGTATTTGTTCAAAAGCTAGAAGAATTATTGATATTCATTTTATATGTTGGCAGGCAACATGCAA